CTCTTAGAAAAAATATTCTAGTGTTGGGAGTGCCTCAGGTACCTTGATCTTTTGGAGCCAAACCTGTACTTTCTAAAGTCTAAAGATTTACATAATTGGCCTTTAGTCTTAACAAAGGAGCCTTCTGGGGGTACTCAGAAGAGAAACAGCATAGGTAGAACATAGGAACGCCATGACCCAGAAAGCTTGTCCAAACTCAACCAACCCTAACCATCACATAGACAACGGTCATTAGCCTACCCATTCCTCTCCCTTCTTAACTTTTTACCTTGCCAATATCCTGCTCTTTGTACTTAAACAATACCCTGCTACATGCACACTTGGTACTCAAAGCAACACTCTCATCCCCCTCACCCCTCCTGTTCTCCTGCTCTACCAAGTATATTAACAGCCCTGAGAAAAATAAAAATTGCCAGTTGATCACATACTTTTCTTGTGGCCCTTCTTTTGTGTCTCTTGTCCCCATCCCTGGTCCTTAGGTCTCTTGCTCCAGGTTGATGTCCTGCAGGTCGGGACAGTCTCAGTGGGGGAATTAAACAAAATCAAATAGAAAGATGCTTCAAAACACAGATGCTTGTGTCTGCAAGAAGGCAGGGTGATATCTTCAGTGCCTCTTCACAGCATCCCTCACATTGGATGGCTGTGACCAGGAGAGTTGATTAGGTCACTCAGATACAGGGCAGGCGAATAGGAAAAATGGACAGAGCTACCAGAGAACCACAGGTCTATCCTACTTATTCCCTGGCCACAAGCTTGTTAACTCCCCTCTCTGAGCGTTAACATATTAAGTAGGCTAAACTAGGCACATACCAGGAGACTTCCCAACAGAACATCCTTCCATTGATCCATCTTGGGTCTTCTTCCCAGCCAATACATAACTGACCTCTTCTTGGCATCCTCAGGTTCCATAAATCAGGGCCTTAGTCATGGCAGAAGTTCCTCTCCATCTATCACTGCTACTCAAGTGTCCTGGCTGACATTTGGGTTGGAATATCTTGTCTGAATTTAGGTGTATTCTTTGGAGTCACCTCAGATTTCCTGTAACCAGGACTTGCTTCTCATCTTGTCACCACAATATAAGGGCCACTGTCACCCTTAGAATCCAAGAAGACTTTGCAGAGAAACAAGTATTTCCTGTGAATCCTCAAAACCAGTGAGTAGGAGCTCCCCAAATCTGACAGCCCATATGAGGGTCTTCAGGAGCTTTGGGGAAAGAGACAGAGGGAAGGCACTGTTTGTGTTAGGGAAGCTTTGACTCAAACAAATTTGAAGACATAGATGATTTTGTGTCAGAATAATTACAACCTAGGTTTTTTATGTGGGTTCTGTTGATGGTTCAGATTTTATTCTTCAGTGACTTGTCTCAGTGAATGGAGAACAGCTTCTTACTGACATATAGCCTCAACAGTGACAAAAGTCATAGCTATTTCTCCAAGAACAGTGCTGACACAAAGTTGGTGGAGCCATGTAGTGGGAACCTGGTACTGTTCTCTGTGGAGGGGTCTCAAATTACTTCATAGAAAGTTTGAAGTTTCACTGAGGCAAGACAATAAATTTAGATTGCAAAGTGCAGAGGAAATATATTCCAGCAGAGACGACAGCAATCACAAAGGACCTTAGCACATTGAGCATGGGGTCAGCCTGGCTTTCCTAGCCCTGCCCCCTCAACTCCCTGTGTCTCTAAAGTTTCTCTCCTTTCCTAACCTTGTCTGCTCCTCTCTAGGACAAGTCAACTTCTTTCCTCAGTTATAATTCTATTCAGTTATGTCTGTCACTTTTAAATTCACTTTTCAAAGTAGTGGATTTTCTGTGGCTTTTCTCTCATACTTAGTTACTCTCTCCTTCCTTCCCTGCTGCTCTTTCCCTCCCCACCCCTTGCTAATGGCTTCCTCCTTCCTTTTACTTCCAAGTCACATGCATTTCACACTCTCTCTTTCCCTGTCTTCTCTTCCAGTACTATTTCTTCTTTACTCATGGTCGTTGCTTTGTGACCACATAGAAACACAGTCAACATAGTCACATATCTGTATGTCTATAGCTATATCATATATATCCATATACACACAAAGAAATTAGAAAACTATTTGTACAATACACAAATTTGCATAATTTTTCTTTCATAATGTGGTTGATTTTGCCAAGCACAATGACTTCCACATCCATCCTTTTCCTGAAATTTTATGATTTCAGTTTTCTTTTGTGGCTGAATGAAATTCCCTGTGCACCTGGTCTCATTTCTTTGTCCACCCCTCAGGATGGGCATCCTTGCTGCTTCCAGTTCTTGCTATTGTGAACAGAAGCACATCTGTCTGGTGGGAAGGTCAAATGAAAGAGTGACAAGTGTTAACTGTGAGTCCTTTTTTCTCCTTCTTCCTCCTGTGACCAACCAGGTGTCAGGAACAAAGATGTTACAACTTGGGAGACTTGTTGCCTTTTGTGGCCTGCTCACTGAGATCTCAGTATCACTTTCAGGTAATATTGGCAGTTCCCTGAGTCATTTGAATTTCTGAATTCTGCCTTGAAAATGAGTCAATAAAGGCACTATGAGATGGCTCATCCCATGAGAATCAAACTAATCACTAAACCTGTATTTGCATAGGCTGCTGAGAGGGGGGAGGTGTTGTCATTTATAGGTAGTACAGATAAATGTGCAGCTATTTAATTCCTTTCTCATTCACATATATTTTTAGAAATATATAGTGCTATAACATCACATTCTAATAGAGTCTTACCATTATACACAAAGGAAAAATTCATCAAAGTAAGATTTCTAAATTTTCTGAAGCTTGAATTTTAAGTTATGGTAGCTGTTGTTAAGTGTTCCACTATCAACTGACTCTGTAAGTCTATGGGAGCACTCCCCCTCCAATGTCCCCTACTGGTCCATTGCAAGAACTAGCATGGGCACTTTTATCTGATTAGTCATTGTCAGACATGAGAGGATATACTTCATACTTTGGACGTCTCTAATCTTAAACATCCTCTCATTTTTCACATATTTACTACAAGTTGACATAATTTAACTTAAGTGTTGTGTCAAAAATATTAGCATGTATTTTTGTAGTTTGTTTGACTTTTCTTGTTGGTCTGTGCTGTCTGGCTAGAAGTGAAGAGCATCACTACACCTGGCTTAGATGTCCATAAGGTTCCCACTGTATTTTTAATGGCACCTCACTTCTCTGATTTAGAAGAACTGGGCTAACTGAAAACCAGTTCTTAGAGGAACAGGAAAGTTCTGAGCATGTTACTTTAAATGTTGTCAATGTTTAGGAAACTTGCAAATATGAAGAAAGGAGCCAGTTTCTCATTCTTCAGTTAAGGAACTGAAGCAGAGAGAAAAGGGTGTTAGGTGCAACGTTGCCTAAGAAGTTGTGTGGTGAGACAGAGCTATCTAAGCAATGCTAACTACCTAAGGTGGCCTTGTCTGCATCATTGCACTAGGTAGATCCTGTTTGCCACAGAGCTAGGTTGCAGTATTGTGATTGCATCCATTTGATTAAACAGTTGTTAACACTTCGTTTTTTATTTATGTTTATGTATCTATGTGTATATGCCTGTGTGTCCCATGAAGTTAGAAAAGGATGTCAGATTCCTGGGGTTACATATGGTGATGAGTCGTCCAATATATGTGCTGGGAACTGAACTCTGGTCCTCTGCAAGAGCAGCAAGCACTCTTAACTGCTGAGTCATCTCTCCATTCTCATCACTGCATTGAAAACACAGCTGTGGCCATCCTTGATGCTTTTTTTAAGTTCATATGATTATATCACAAACAGCCTTTAAGGAACAAGGGAAATCTTTCAAGATCACTTAAGACACTCAATATAGAATAGGAAAGCATTCCACAGAAACAATGGCTACACTTCAGAGGTTTATGATTTCAGCAGTCAAAGCTGGAGTACAAACGTAAACATCACTGTACAACCAGAAAAGACATATACAATATCACAGTTGTTAGCCCAACTGCTTTACTCTCTGATGAAATGAAACAGATTACAATGGTGTGTAGGGGTGAGCCCCACAAAACTATCTGCCCTACGGGTGGGAATAAGGAAATTTAGGATGGGTGGAGATAAAAGGAAGTGAAAGAGAAAGGAATTCTTTTTCTCTTCTCCTCGATTGGAAGCCTGCCATGCTTCTGACTCCCCAGTTTGTGTGTAAGTTCTTATTCTGGTAAATAAATATGTTATATCCGATATTGCATTGACCTTCCACATCAATGGTGGAGAAATTAGCAGGCACAACTGAGCTGCAAACAAAATTCTAAAGCATCATGTTAAGCCATGGCTCCTTTAAAATAAGAAATTGTTGCAGTTCCCTTTTGTTTGTCCCCGTGTTATCAATTGCTTTGTTTCCCAGTAGAGACATTTTCTACTGCTACATCCTGAATTCCTCACACATGTCACCTTGCACATGACATTTACTAATTTCATTCCCTGGTTACTTTTTGAGATCTTCTGTTAGGACACTCCATTCTCCTGCTCCAGTGTCAATTTCTGTTCTCTAGGACTGATTCCAAGCTGTCATTTTGAGACCCCTATCTGCTGCTTTCAGTGGATGGAGCAGTACTTTCCCTCTATGATTTTTTCCTTTGTTTGAAAATTTTCCAATTCTTAATTTATTCTCTTAAGGTTGTCAAACCCATGTGAGCATCTCATTAACAGGGACAGATCCTAAAATCACTACTGAAAACAGGTATACACAATCAAATTCCATTGCTTTGCCAATTGATCCATGTTTTGATGATAAATGCTCAATATATATTCATACAAAGGCATACTGGAAACACTGCATGACCTTAGCTGTGACAACACAGTTCCTAATCTAGGAGTCTAAGATTCCTCTTTGAACAATGGAGATGGTAGCAATCCCACTCTTAGTGAGCTATTGCAGAGACTGACTGAAACATTGCAGGGAAATTCACTCCTATGAGACAAAGAGAATGGGAGCTCATTCATCACTTGTTCACACTCTGATTGATGATGTTTTCTTACAGATGCCTTTCAGAACCAGAACCTGGATGTGGGGTATCTTCAAGAAACTTTGAGTTGGCCATTAGCTAAGAACAACATTCTAGAAGCGTTAAACACATTGGATGTTGGTAGATTTAACCATTTTTCACTTCAGAATGATTTAGAGTGAGTTGGTGCATGTTCACTCTCAGAAAATTCACTACCCCTCTGGGGAAGCTAGTCCAATGTCAAAGACAGATGGAAAGGCCTCTTCTTCTCCCACATAGCTGTGGTAAGGCTCCACAATTGAGTAAGTGTAGGACAGTACTATAGAGTCAGTTTCGACAGTTCACCCATCTGGGTTCTAAAGTCCGTAATTTCAGGCTCAAGATGAAAGTTCCATTTTTCCTCATCTCCACCTATATCTTGATACCAATCATTCCTCTATGAACAATGCTTTCCTTTTTCATATTTAGCCAACATTAAAAGTCCAATTTCCTTCAAGGAACAGGAAGCTGGAATCCACACCCTATTAGTCCCAAGCAGTAGCTTCATGGAGTTTTCTGTCACTCAGTCCTGGGTTCAATTTATTTCTCTGCTGCCTATTGTTTTCCTTGCTCAGACCACTGTGCCTGAGAATACAGAGACTTGCATTTCTGAGCAGGATGTAGAGGACAAGAGGGCTATGAGAACAGTTGAAAATGCTACTAGGAAGAATGACAAGAGTGCACTTGTGGATTTTGAGCAGGTTGAAATTCAATGAATTAAGTATCTTGGACTTGCAAGCTTCCCCATCTTCTGATGGCAATGGCATTAACTTGAAGGTGCCCGTGAAAGTGAATGCTTCTGTGTTTCTGTGAGTGTGTGCCCCTTGTATTTAGGGATTGGAGTGCTATGTATCTTACTTGAGTAAGTATTTAATCCCTAGCTACAGTGTAGCCTGCAGCCCAAGTTTCCTAGTCTGTAAAAGAGAGGAAGATTCTATCCCAGGCATCAGCCTGGGAATCCAGCATGGGACTGATCAAGACCTCCTGAATCTGGGTGTCAGTGAGGAGGCCTAGGTAATCTATTGAGCCTTGGGCAGTAGATCAGTACCCATCCCAAGTATACACACGGACTTTGGACCCCCATACAACAATGTGAGGTGCACTCTCATCCTGAACTCTTGGGGAAGGGTCTAGGCCCTGCCCTATATGAAATGACAGACTATGGACAACCCCATGGAGGGCCTACCCTCCCTGGGGGAATGAGGGATAACGGGAGGGGGGGGAGGTTGGAGGAGGGCACGGGAGGAGGGGAGGGAAAGGGAGAGGGATCTGGAACTGACTTGTGAAGCAATCTTGTTTCTTATCTAAATTTAAACTGGAAAATAAAAAAAAGAGAGGAAGATTCTAGGCCTAAAGTATCAATGCTTAACATATTCTAGTGAAAACATGCCAGGTTGTTTCTTTGAAAAGAATGACACATGTATATAATCTTCTGTATGAGATGCAATGTGCATGAAGGTGTGCAAATTTTCACGTGTGCACTCATATGTGTCTGTGGAGGCCTGAGGTCAAGGTTAACGTTTTCCCTCAATCACTTGCCATATTAATTTTTGAGATAGTGTCTCTTAAGAAATCTGGAGATCATAGGTATGCCATAGACCTAATGGATAAATGTAACATAATTTAATGCTTATTTATTTATAAGAGGTTAAGAGAGGTTAAGGAAAATGACAGTCACGAACCTGTGCAATAGATATTCTAGAGACCAGGGATTTCATTTAGAGAAAGTGTGACCTCGGTTTAAATCACCAGCCCTTGGCGGCAGCGGTGGGGGATATAAATTAGATACATTTGGGAAGCCATGAGCAGTGACGTCCTTGGGTAGTTACTTAACTTCTCTTTGGCTAGGAATTGTTGATCAAAAAAAAAAAAGTAGGACTTCTCTCCTAGCAATGTTGTAATGAAACCATTTTTAAAAACCAGGTACAATATTTTAAAGGAATGCCTACAGGTAATCCATGCTACACAATACTAGTAATTAGTTATTAGACTAATGCCAAGGAAAATTCTTGCACATGCTAAACAAGCTTGGTCCAGAGTAGCCCTATAGAGACGTGTAAATTTTGTTGAATGTTGATATTATCCAGACAATGTTGACATTGCTCATAGATTCCCTGCACTGTAACCACAGACATAGATGAAAACCAGGGAAATTTGAAAAGCCGTGTAGATCTGGTGTGACTCTTGTTTTCTACAGACCTGTTATTGACTCCACAGTCGATGTTGCTATTTTCTTGGACCTCATAACTTCACTCTCTGTTCAAACCGATGCCTGGACTGGCCTTCCCACCCTGACCATAGGGAACTGCTCAAGTGATACAGACAACATCTCTGTTTCTTTTTGGGCAGGTAAGACTCATCCATCCTGGCAGAGCACTGCTCTGAGAGAGGCTTCAGGACACCTGACTTTAATCCTGTTCTTATACCTTTAAGCAGCATCATAGCATACATAGTCAAACCAGCCTCAAATATCAACTCTCTCACAGCTATCAGCCCTGTGACTTTGCAGCTTCATCTTTTGAGGCTTCAGTTTGCACATCTGTGCAGTGGAACAGTAGAGATCTGTGCTCATCAGATTCTGGGATGAAGACCTGAGAAAATACACATGTTCAGCTTAGAGATTGGAACATACTATAAATACTCATGAGGCATGAGATGCCCACTGACTCTATTGACTGTTCAATTCCATTGCTGAGGCAGGAGGATAACCTCTCCATCCATAATCATGCATTTGCCTATGGTACCTTCCAGCTGGATCAATGTGCCTCAAGCTTCTGAACACAATAACATCACATTCACCTCCAATGGGAGGCAGTAAGATAATTACATGTTAGTATGGGATCTGGTTGTTCTGATGTATTGTCTACCCTCTGGAAAATTCCTAGAGAGAGGTCTTGATATCCCAATTTCGTCATATTTCCATCACTGAATCCATTTGATCCTCAAAATTTGGATCTTATTTTATGCTTTGAAAAGTAGGTTTGACTTAGGCAGCAGTTGGAGGAAGTGATGCTACCCAGTGTCTGGGGGAGGAACCATGGCCTACAAGTTAAGGGCTGGGGCTGGGAAGTCCTGGTCAGGGATACAGGGATGGCCTCTCTTCTCAGCCTCAATATACATGTCCCGGGGCCACCCATCCTCCCACACCAAAGATGTAATCTCAAATAAAAGATAGGACCACAGTTTTGGCATGCAAGTCTAAAGGACTGAGTTCTGCTTGACACTATCTGCCAAGCAGCTCCAGGAAACTCATGTTGCTCCACTGAGTCTGAATCCACAAGGCCATGTAGACTCTCATGATACAGCTCATGTCTCACTCTCCTTTAAACACATTGGCTTTTGTTCTGTGCTCACACTAGTTTCTCCTAACACAGGACTTTGCATGGAAGTGGTGGTTATGTAAAACATTGTAGTCCTTACTCTATATCAATGTACCTTTCATCTTTAAGTATCTTGATTGATTCCCTCTTTTCCTCACAAGAGTATACTCTTAACCTTCAGAGTACTTGTCCCTGATGTCACTGTGTGTGCAAACATATTTTATGACAGGGTCTCACTGTACAGCTCCGGTCAGGTTCAATCTGTCTCCTTTCTCTGGAAGGCTAGGATCAAAGGTGGATGACACTAGACCAGATGACTCACTGTATATTTAACTGGACTTGTTCTTTGCTTATTGTTGTTAAGGGGGATGGGTGTTTGGGTGTGAGCACACATGCGCAGGTGTCAGTGGCTGGAGACCACTAAGTGGGATAAGATGGCTGAGGACTCTCCAATCTCTCTCTTCACTGCACAGAATTACAGGTGTGTGCACTCACCAGGCTTTTCATTTTTACTTGATATGGTAACTAGAGATTAAACTCAGGTCCTCATGATTGCAAGGGGTATATTTTGTAGACTAGGGTATCTTGTTGGCCACATTTTCTCAAAACTGCCTAATACCAGGCAGGCATTGTTCTGTGCTCTGGAGAACAATTTGGTGAAAGCAAACAGACTCTGTCTCCTGGAATACATCCTGAGGAAAAGGTAGGCAAAGGACTATTGGGTTCATCAGTAACTCAGGGAAAATGGGGATGCCTACACAGGTCATCATACTTACCAGGGCACAAGGAGAGCAAACCTTTCCTTCAGTGAACACTCATGATAGGAGATAGCAGCTCGATGAGAGATGAACATGAGAGGAGGCAACCTCATTGACACTCTTTTATGAAGAAAGTTATTGTCCAGTGTCTTAAGGCACAGTCTGTGCTGTGTAAGTAGACACTGGGTGAATTGTGCTGTTTCAAGGGTGTGATCAGCATCCAGACACTGAAGAAGGATTACTTAGACATGAGATGATCTGATGGTCCATCCTTACATCCCACTGGGCAACAATCTGAAATGGGTCCACAGAGCAGAGTTGTGTGTCACCTGTCCTTCTGAGGACTCTCAGCCAAGCTGAATTCCTGACTAAGCTTTGCAAGTCTCTTCTTTTCCAGACGAAGCATCATTATGAAAAAAATACTGGAAGGTGTATCAGGCCTTCTTAAATGGACAGTGGCAAATATGTTGCAAAACCAAGTAAGTCCCCAGTTCTTGGAAACCCATGCCAGGATGGGCCATGACAGGAGAGGCATCTGTAGGTGTGACCGCTTACTCATGACACTGTCTCCTGTGAAGTGCAGATTTTTCTCTGGAAGTTCTGTGGGCACCTCCTCTTTCTCAGTAGCTGGGTGGCAGAGAAAAGAGGCAGAAATCACAGGTGCTGCCTTGATCTCTTACCACATCCATGCTTCACCTGTGCTCTTTAAGTTAATGTTTCCTTGTAATCAACACACTTTAATTAGAATCAACACATTTTAATTAGAATGAATGCATATATTAATTAGAATGTACCTATTAATTAGTATGAATGCACCTATTAATTAGAATGTACCTATTAATTAGAATGCACCCATTAATTAGTATGAATGCACCTATTACTTGGAATGTACCTATTAATTAGAATGAATGTATCTATTAATTAGAATGCACCTATTAATTACAATGAATATACCTAGTAATTAGAATGAAAGCACCTATGAGTGAGAAGCTGCAGGGAACTGAGAATTGGATTGCCCAAAGCTTAATCTTCATGAGGGCTTGGATTTCCAGGGTTCAAGAGCTCCAGGTTAAGGAATCTGGGGGATGTTAAGGTTCTAGATTCTAGATTTTCATATCCTGACCTAATGACATCGTGCGGTGGTGAGTTCTCAGTTGCCTGGGACAGCTGTGACTCAGGTGACTACAATTCCATAGTTCCAGATTGCTAAGTTTCTTCGGTTCTGGAAATGAGCCCCTCTGTTGGTGGAGGGTGGGCACTGTATAGCCAGCAAACTCTCATCTGTTTTCCTTCTCCCTCCCCATCTTCTCTCTGAATCCTGGAAATGTCCACTGCTCCACTGGCTCCTCAGCAACCTGGATGTATATATTCTTCAGGACCTCCTCTGTAAGTCATAGCCTGGGGACTGGAGTGCTTTCCCTGGGCCAACACAACAGTTGTGGGGATGTCACAGACAAGGTCATTGCATTCTGACCAAGTTGGGTCTTTAACTTCTCTTCCCATTATTGGGATCTCTTTTGAGGCTTTAGCTCCCCATGATTGTCAGGGTTCCTGAGGCAACAGGAATCAGGCACCTGCAGTGTCAGGTCTTGGATGTGACCAGCCTGTGTTTATGTTCCTTTACACAGACATTCTGTGTCTTGCACACACTACCTCATTGTGTCCTCAGAAGATTCTTTATAGCATGGCACTGTCATTATTCACTTTCAGGTGAACAATGACACACTTGAGGTCACAGAAGCTACAGAGTGATGAGCAGGAGGGAGGTAGCAAGTTGCGTGTCTCTGTTCAATTTCTGAAGTTTTGATTTTAACAGTATCATTTCTCTCTAGAAATTGCTATCACCATCCACACAAAGTCTGCCTGAGCCTGCCTGAAACCCTTCAAGACTCTCTTCTTCTCCCAGTTGTCTTCCTGCCTGTTATCACCAACCCAGCATTAAAATCCTAACTGCACCCTGATGTTTGGCTCTTTTCAATCTTTGAATTAGTAGTTGTTGGCAGGGTGTGGCATGTGTGGGTGATACTGCAAAACTGTGTGTTTTTCTCATTCTGTTCCTTAAGATGGATGCAAAATGATGACCTCCCTGTCCTATGATACCCACAGCAAAGACAGAAAGGCTTAGATGGCGGTGGCCTTTCCTCCTTGCGTCTTCCTAAGGGGCATCTTAATCTCTTATGCTCTCCAGGCTCACATAGCCCTCCATTACTACTCAGTTCCTGGATGTCTCATCCAGACTAGAGCAATCTTAGTCTTTCTGGGCCAATCAGGGACCCTACTGATACACAGGGTTCCTCATTCCACCCTTGTGATGGAGGCTGAGCTAAAGATGTTTTAATTCTTCACCACATCCTGATGCCAGAGGAAGAAGAGGATCACAGAGGTGCAGTGATTCATCCAGATCATGTAGTGAGCAAGGACCAGAGCTGGGAGTACACTGACCTTCCTCTACCTTTACATAATCATGCACTTTCTTTTAAAATGCTATCCCCAAGCAGCCACACCAGGAATGACTTAGGCAAGAGCAGGAGCCCAGGTATCACATTGCATCCACAGTCCAAAATCATGGTGTGTCCAGAAGACATGGACAGTCTATAAAACCCAGGACTATCTTCCAGTGATCCACTTCCCTCAGCCAGGCTCTACCTAGTACAGTTTCCACAAATAGCACCACCAGCCTGGGACCAGGATTTCAAACAAATTTCGCTGGTCATTTCACATTTAAATCATTGAAGTATTTAAGTCTATGTGCAATGTGGCCACTGGGACAGGGATCCTCAAATGGATGAGGGCTCCTTTATCTGAAGGATCTCGTGAGGGCTCAAGAAGTATTTTAGAAATTGACTGTCATGGGGGCTACTGTTTTTACAGATGCAGACTGAGGCATGGAAAATGGCAGGAGCAGTCTAGCATCAGACAGCAAGGGTTGGGCAGAGCCTGGCTATAACTGAAGGATCAGGAGCCACAGGCCAGAGATCTGCAGCTAGAATCTCACCCTCCCCCACAGCACAGGGATCAATGCCACCTTCTAATGTCTCAGCATCCCTAACATTTCTATTTTAAGGCAGAACCTTGAAACTCTGCCCTTTCTGGAGTTCTCCTCAATTCAATTAGCAGATGTTTGCTAGGAGAGCCCAGCAGTCCTTCCTGCACCATTTAAATTTGTGCCCTTGAACCTATGGCAATAAAACACCTGCTGAGATCCATCTGCCATGTCGTCTGTCTTAACCAGGAGAACGATGAAGAGGAACACAGAGACAGAGCTGCCAAGACTCCCTCACCCTGTTCAGCTTATGATGCAGGAATCTAATGTGTGTGGGTTCAGTAAATTGCTGTGAAGCAGGGTATCCCAGATTCACAGAGAGCAGGGATGCTCAGCCAGCACCCTCCATTTTCCTGTGGGCCACTATTTCTAGAGGTGGATAGACAAACGAATAGTATGTACAACAATGCAGACTTTCACTGTTCCACTGTAATGGATCAGCTACTAAGTGCTTATCTCCTCTTTCTTAATTGGGAAGAAGTCATGGCTCCTATCCTGTCGTCAACATCACCAAGACCAGAGGTACAAACAACACCTCCAGATTCTTTGTAGGAAACACTGATAGAATGGAGTTTGGGCCTAGAAAGGTTTTATGTATAATCTTGGTTATCATCTTGATTGTATGTGGCGTGAGCTAAAATTCAGATATGGAGGGCACACCTGTGAGAGCCATTCTGCTTCATTTGAAGTTCATGAATTCACTTCTATTCTGGACCTTTGAGGTAGGAAGACACACCTGTGATCTGAAACTTGAAGTGTGAAGACAGCATACCTTTTGTTCCAGATTTCCTGTCAAGATGGCACTCCTTTAATTTGAGCCACACCTTCTTCATGAAGCCTAAGGATATGGAAGGAGGGAGGTTTCGCTCATTTCCCGCTTGCCCTCACCTTGCTAACACATCCATTCCTGCACTCACATTGGAGCTACTCTTCAGGATTCTAACATATACTGAAGAGCAACTGAGACACCCGGCCTTGTGGGATTGCACAACTATTAGATTTGTTGACTTTATGTCTATAGCCAACCATTTTTGGATTAGTTGAAATGCAGACTATATATCATTCCATTAAATCCCACGATGTTTTGGGATACTTGATCATACTGTGAACCCTGAGATTGCTTTATTTAAATACAATCAACCGTAGGTCACCATGGAGAGTGAGTGGAAGTCAGGATGTCAGAGAGAAAGAGAAGCACAGGACGTAGTAGGGAGGTTTGTTTCAGAAAGTGGTATAAGAAATCCCTTTTTGGGATGATGGCAAAATAGAAAGCAACTGACTGCTCTCTCTGCCTCTCTGAGCTACCAGGTTGTCACACCAGCATCTGTCTTCTGACTCTTTGTTGGTAAAATTAAAAAATAGAATCAGTCAAAAACAACAATTACCTCCCTACATGGAGGTGGCTGAGGCAGCAGCAAAGGCTGGACATGAAGGCTTCCCTGGACTCTGGCCTCAGCAGGTAGGCAGTGGTGGCTTCAGAGTCATAATTACTGAGTCAGCAGTAGGTTCAGGTGGAGCCATTGTGCTTCAGATAAAACAATACCAGTTAGGAGGAGGAGGAGGAGGAGAGACAGAGAGACAGAGAGACAGAGACAGACAGAGACAGACAGAGACAGAGAGACAGAGAGAGATAGACAGAGACAGAGACAGAGAGACAGACAGACATGAGAGAGAAATAGAGAGAGAGACAGACAGATAGGAGAGAGACACACACACAGAGATAGAGACAGAGAGACAACTAGACAATACTAACTAATACATATTTTGATACTAGGTATGGTTCTAGAGAAACAGAAGTTTAAGGATGAATCATTTAAACATCTGAAATAGGGTTTTTTCACTTTTTCACATGTCAATCCCAGCTTGCTCCCCTCCTCCCTACCCCCAACATCCCCCCAAGCCCTCATCCAATCTCCACACTGCTCCATAGGTAGGGTGAGGTCCTCCATGAGGGGTCTCCAGAGCCTGTCACTTCATTCAGGGCAATGCCTAGGCCCTTCCTTATGTGTCCAGGCTGAGAGAGCATCTCTTGATGTGGGATGGCCTCCTAAAGTTCATTTGTATGGCAGAGATAAATATTGATCTACTACCCAAGGCTCCATAGACAGCTGAGGTCACCTGGCTGATAACCAAATTTAGGGGGTCTGGCTCAGTCCCATGCTGGCCTCTCAGCCATTGGTCTGGGGTCCAAGAAGTCCCCCTTGTTCATGTCAGTTGCCTCTGTGGGTTTCACCAGCTCAGTCTTCACCCTTTTACTCATCACTTCTCCCTCACTGCAACTGGGTTCCCAGAGTCCAGTTCAGTGTTTAGCTGTGGGCGTCTTCCTCTGCTTCCATCAGTCACTGGATGAAGGTTACAGCATGGCACATAAGGAAGTCGTTAAACTCATTACCAGGGAAGGGTATTTAAGGTAGCCTGTCCACTATTGCTTAGTTTGCCAGTTGGTGTCATCATTGTCGATCTCTGGAAATCTCACTAGTGCCAGATCTCCCCTCAAACCTAGAATGACTCCCTATATTATGGTATCTCTGATCCTGTTCTCCTTTGTTCTCCTGACTCAAACTTCCTGCTTCTCCATGTCCTCTTCTCCACTCCTCTTCTTCCCCTCTGTTTTTCCCAGCTCCCTCTCCCTTCCTCCATGCTCCCAAACCCCTCAGGATATCCTGTCTCATTCCCCTTCTTTGGGGTTCCATGAATATATCTCTTAGGGTTCTCTCTGTATCCCAGACTCTGGCAGTGGAATTGTAGGCTGGCACTCCCCTGCATCATGTCTAAAATCCATATATGAGTGAGTACATACCACGTTTATCTTTGTGTGACTGGGTTACCTCACTCAGGATGGTTTCTTCTAGTGTCATCCATTTGCCTGCAAATTACAATATTCCACTGTTTTTTTCTGCTGAGTAGTTCTCCACTGTGTAAATGTACCACAATTTCTTTATATACTCTTCATTTTAGGGGCATCTAAGTTGCTTCCAGGTTATAGCTATTACAAATAATGCTGCTATGAACATAGCTGAACAGATGTCCTTGTTGTATGATTATGTATCTTTTGGGTATATGCCTAAAAGTGGAATTGCTGGATATTGTAGTAGACTGATTACCATTTTCCTGGGGAATCTCCACACTGATTTCCAAAGTCCTGTATGAGTTGGCATTCCCACCAGTAGTGGAGGAGTGTTTCTCTTTCTCCACATCCTCTCCAGCATAAACTGTCATTGGTATTTTTGATTTTAGCCATTCTAACAGAAGTATGATGGTATCTCAGAGTTGTTTTGATTTGCATTTCCCTAATGGCTAAGGATTTTGAACACTTTCTTAAGTGTTTATCTGCTATTTTAGACTCTTATATTGAGAATTTTCTATTTAGTTCTGTACCCCACTTTTTAATTGGCTCCTTTGGTGTTTTGGAGACTTGCTTCTTGAGTTCTTTGTAAATTTTGGAGATCATCCCTCTGTCAGATGTGGGATTAGTTAATATTTTTTCTCATTCTGTGGCCTGCCATTTTATTTTGTTGACTGTGTCCTTTGCATTATAGAAGCTTCTCAGTTTCACGAGGTCGTATTTATTAATTGTCGATCTCAGTGTCTGTGCTACTGGTGTTATATTCAGGAAGCAGTATCCTGCACCAATTCGTTCAAGGGTACATCCCACTTTCTCTTTTAAGAGGTTCAGTGTGACTGGATTTATGTTGAGGTCTTTGATCCATTTGGACTTAAGTTTTGTGTATGGCGATAGATATAGATCTATCTGCATTCTTCTACATGCCAGCATCCAGTTATGCCAGCACCATTTGTTGAAGATGCTTTCTTTTTCCATTGTGCAATTTTAGCTTCTTTGTCAAAAATCAGGTGTTCGTAGGGGTGTGGGTTAAAATCAGGATGTTTAATTCAATTCCATTGCCTACCTGGCTCGTT